ACATATACACATACATATATATATACACATACATATACACATACATATATATATACACATACATACATATACACACACATACATACATATACACACACATATATATACACACATATATACACACACACATACATATACATACACACACACATATCGCAATACATTGAATCATTACCTCTGTATTGAGATACGTATCGTATCGCCAGATTCTTGCAAATAAAAAGCCAAATAATCAGTATGTAGGTACAAAATAATTACTAGTAATGTATTGACCCAATTTGTATAACTTGAAAATATATTTTTTCTACAAAGCTGTTTCTCAAAGTTCTTGTTGCTGAATAGTTGAATTGTATATTTGAGGCGATATCTTGTCCTCTGAATAATTGGACTGTGACTGCAGGATAAAAACAAACCCTGAAAAGACTCGTAACGTGTGAATCCACAGGTCGATCTCATGCTTCCTTTACCCTGTGAGAACACTTGTGTTACGCCCCTCTTTCCTGCGCGCAAGTCGCAACACAGGACCTCCGTGTGACCCCATTGTTGCGATGGACAAACCTTCCTCTTCAGTGTCTAAAAGAGTGTGACACATCCTTAGTCAACCAACAACCACGGTTTTCTCTCCAGTGGGCTCTAGATTTTGTGCATTAAACATAAGCGTTGGGTGTATTTAAATGACACGGCAGCATGATCGCCTTCTTGGACAAGTTATTAAATACTGTGTAGGGACTGAGTCAGCAGTTTTAATCCAATGAAAATGTTACCATTATAAGGAATAATCTTTTCTTTGCATCCGAGAGGGCCTTCATTTCAACTCAAAAGGAGACAAACCAGAAATTGGCCAAACGACTTTCTACTTTCTTTACGGCTGATAGTTAGGAAAGACATTGACGGATAATGTCAACTTCTTACTACCACTCGTTAGTCCTTGCATAGAGTTAAGTCAATCAGTGACTGTGTCCATTCTTACCATTGGTGTCTGTGTTCTTCTGCGGTGTGGCGACCCGTAGGAAGATCTGCTGCCTCCACGAGTGGCGGTGGCTGCGCAGAGGGCTTTCCCCTACACCACATGCTGCACTCGCTGCAGACAGAGCTGCTACATCACTGAAACACAAACACGCACACACGAATAGTTACATAATATGTCCTCCTAGTTTATACCATAAACTGTGTACACACACATTCATATACACACATATCCAAAAATATACTGTACATAAAATCAGCTTAATTGAAACAAGGAGCACAGATTATGACTGTGCTGGACACACTGACATGGACGTGACTACTTAGTGTACATGTGTGTGTGTGTGTGTGTACCTGCTCTTTGGGACATCGGGACAGTCATACTCTTGGACACGGGCCAGAAATGTAAATTTCAGAAAATTTGGGACAGAGGCGGAGGAGGGGAGACGAGCGCGCAGACCACCCAGAGGACTGAGATGGAGGTGAAAAAAAGGAGGCAGGAAACAGATGAAAAGAGAAACGCAGGGCTCCGTTCACACAAAGAGAGACACAGGCCTTGAGAGAAATGCATGAGTTAAACTGAAAACCAGCGCGGGATTCTCACCGTCTTTTATTGAGCTGCGCTCCACTAGACGGTGAGGAAGGGTGATGAGGGTGGAGAAAAGAGGGAGATGAAGGGCAGGGAGGAACAGGAGGAAAGGCGGAGTCGGTTGGGAGATGTCTGAGAAACGGTGCGAGTGCAGCAAGAGGGAGCGAAGAGAAAGAGAGCAGAGGAAGTCACAACAAAATAGGTGACAACTGAAAAATGGGGGAAGAGAAAGAGCAGGGAAAATTAAAGAAAAAGTTTTTGTTTTTAAATAGAGTTGGGAGATATAGTTTATGAGAGAATTTTGGTTGATCATCTCAAAGTGCTTGGTAAAAATGTTTTAATATCGTCTTTTCCTTAGACGGCAACATTACAAACATAACTGAAGCCATTCAATATTCGGAAAGCACATCAGGCTCATCTACCTGGGTGTAATTAAAAGAACACAGCAGAACCAGAGATACCGTCGGTTTTGTTTCACGAGTTATTCTTACTTGTCAAAACCTGCCGCCTGCATTACCCACAATGCAACCTCGACAAGCTATGCTAGAAGTGGCTAATGTAGCCTCCAGCACAGATGAGCAGCAGGCTACAGACTGGTAACCTTAACGTCTTTCTGACAACACGACCCCAGATTTATTTTCATTTGAAACTCCAGACCAGACAAATTACTGAAAACGATCACAGATCCCACAGCTCCCTCTGGAGCCACAAAAGGATGTATTGATAGAAATAGAACAGGAGAAGAAAGGACATTCCAATTCAAATCAATGTATCGGCGGCCATTTTTTATGTGTACCGCTGCCATTGCTACCATTGTAGCCGGCTAACTTCCGTATAAACCAAATCGACTTACGGCACGTTGCAGACTCACTGAGATGAGGTTTTGCAGTAACGACTAAAAAGAGCAGTGGAGTAGTAACGTTGCAAAGCGCAGAGAGTCAGAGTAAAAGAGTCTAACAACGCACCGCTTCATCCACACACTCTAATCACAATGTAGTAAACGCACTTTGTTCAGCTCATCTTTTGTAACCAGTGTAGCATCAAAGTATGGTGGAATTAGCAAGCTAGCTTTCTTACTAGCCAGCGGTATGCTAGTAAGCTTGCTAGCTAATTCGGGCATGCTTTAATGCTACATTGGTTAAAGAAAATGGGCCAAGGTCAAGCTGCCTAGCTAACAAGGCAGCCATCCGGAGCAGCCTCTGCTCTCTTCCCGGCGAGCCCTCGTACCAGTCAAACATCCACGGAAAACAGTTCAATGTCCGTTCTACTCCAATTCTATTTCTATGGCTTTATACATCTTTTTCACATAGGCAGTAGTACTCCCTAACATCTGGTAACAGACTTTGATGTGTACAATTGGTGGAATTTCTTAACTTAAACGCTCCCACCTGCTTCATCATCCTATCCACATTACATGGATTATTTTCTTTCTCAGAATAACCAAAAAGTAGTGCGAGTTTGATTTAATGTCAAGAGGTTTATCGCACAGACAGACAAGGGAGAAGAGTTTTTCAAGTGCAGAGGAAATAACGTCAACAGCCAAGATTTTAACAGCAGCACTTTGCTGACAGGAACTCGACTACGTTGTGCACTAAGCCGGCTGTATATGTAGCTCTTTATAGATGATCTACACGTCTTGTTTCCCTTTGACACAGCTGCACCTGCCGACATAGAGGAAACCAGGGGATGACACGCTCCACTGAACATGCACTCAACCACCCGTGAGACTGCCGTCACAGGCTCGTTCCTGATCGTCACCAGTTACACGAGGGGTTTGAAACTATGTGCTTCAGTCGTTGATCCAGGAAGAGGATACAAGTTGTAAACATAATGCAACTGCAACCAATCCTCTCATTGTTCTCCGGCTCAACTTAATATGTCATGGCAGAGAGATGGGCGGCCCCTTCACATCTGAGACATTTCTAGCGTACTGGATGTGATTAATGTGAGACATGTTGCAACACGTATCATTGGGAATGTAAAAATTATTGAAACCAGAAACGCTCTCCTTACTTGCTCTGGTGTGGTGTGTCGGTGCTGACGGAGTAGTGGCGTACGAGCTTGGGCTTGCTGGCTGCAGCGGGGTCCTGCGGTATGCGAGTCAGTGCGTGCAGCGGCGAGCTCTCTGCTGAGGAAGGGGTGGGAGGGTGGCTGAAGGTGCTGGCCCGTCGGCGGAAGCCCTGAGGCTGAGCGTCGCCGGGTTGAGAGGAAGCGGAGGGGGACAGGGGGAGAGAGGAGTCAAGGCGCTTCAGGTCCCCTGTTGAGTTGTGGCACCTGAAGACGACGAGGAAAGTGTGTGAGGAGAAAAACATGGTGACCACATAATCTCATGACCACACACACGTGTTATGTAGTCCAAGGGAAAAAGAAGTGTGAGGTGAAATTAAGTTTATAATATGCACTGTTAAAGGGAGTCCAATAAAGTTTGGAATAATTAAATCATCGTGTAATTACACTTAAATATATTCCGATCTGAATAGACCTTTCGCTAAGTCCCGCCCTCTAACGCAGGCTGGCCAGTCATAGCATAGCATAAGCCAGTTCTGACCAGGTTCCAACAACAACTATCCGTTTCTGCTCCATAGACTCATGTAATCGTTTCAGATGATCTACAGGTTGGTTTAGTGGATTTGGAGCGAGTCTCAGTTAAACGTTGTGTAGAAGTGATACTCGTTACCGATTTTGACAATGAATAAAGACCAATTCTGTCCTTTCTGGTATTGCAAGCAACCGTTTTCAAGCTAAACAGAGATTTCAAAACACATTGAATTATCAATCTATTCTGGAGGCTGGGTTTTCACAAACCCAGGGTTCAGGATCTTGGAACTCAGGGCCTCATCAACCTCTACGATAATGAAATCCAAGTAGAACTGCTCTGACCTTTGAATCCCTGACTGTTCTGTCCCAAGATATGAGTCAGTGTGTGTGTGTGGGCAAGTGTGTTTACCTGAGTGGGCTGGTGGGTCGCAGCTGGGAGGAGGCGGGCAAGGGGTCATCTAGACAAGACTGGTCCTGGCTGCTGTTGAGCGTATAAATGCCGCCATCGCTTCCTACACTGTTGTCCCTCTGAGCTCGGGCCTTGCTGCTCCCCTGCCAACAGGCACATTACTTCAAGTTTTACGTTCAAAGTGTAAAGATTAACGATTATGAAAACTACCATGTCCTCCAAAAGGCCTGTTCTTCTATATTAGATCACAATAATGACAGCGTACCATGTATACAAGTGACTACTTGAGCACTACTGAATACAAACCAAGAAAGAAAGAACAGTTTTACCTTCCAGATCCCCTCCAGGGACTCTGTTAGCGAGCGCTTGGCTCGGCTCTTGAACTGCTCGAGTCGCTGCCGACTGCTACTCTGCTGTGGATCCACTGGGGCTGAAGCTGCCTCCTCACACACCTACATATACATGGAGAGACATAGAGGGAGACAGCGAAGACAGGGAGTGAGTGGGAGTATGTATAAGCTTAGTATGACACTTATTTCATTCTAAGTGAAAGGGATATTTGTAATAAAGTGACCTGTTTGCTGTCTCCAGGCAGAGTGTGCTGATGGCTCCTCTGCCTCTCCTCATACAGATCCCTCAAAGAGGCCATCACCAATTCATTCTCTTCCTGGTCGCTCTTAGGACGAGCCCTCTGAAACACACACAAAATGCAAAAAGAATTATATTACATTTTTCTTTTTCGACCATGCCGAATAAATGATACGTGAGGAAGAGTTTGCAAGTGTTGACATAAAAGCAGCATCCAAACGTGAGGGGTTTTGAGTGGACAATAGCTACATTACATTAGAAGAGTGGACACACTGTGCTGTTTTGTGTTAGTAAAGCATGTTGAGAGATCAGCACTGATGTGGTGCTGCAGTTCAGCCACATCACCAGCAGATGTCAGCTGAGTCATAGAGAAATACTTGAGGGCGGTCTCCTCCCAAGGCTCACCTTGGTCAACAATGTGTAGTACCAATGATGGATAAAATAACATCAGCGGGCCTACAGATTAAGTTGCAACATTTAAACGGATGTGATTTATCAAACAGTCCACTTGTGTTTTTAGGGAAAACAGATGGACGTGTTGAGAGAGCCACAGAGAGTGAAACAGACCAGAACACAGAGATGAGGTGGCAGGAATATTGAAGTCATGTGTAAAGGCAGATCAGTGCTCCTCGTGAAAAACACGTGATTCCACGGTGATACATCAAAATCATGATTGCATCCCTGGCTTTTTATAACTACTAGGCTGGACTACTGTGACGCCCTTCTTTCTGGTCAAACAAAGAATACAATAAGTCAGCTTCAATTAGGTCAAAATTCTGCTAACCGATTATTAACTAAGACCAAAAGGAGAGCACATATTACACCCATTTGAAAATCTTTACACTGTTTAGCTGTTAGGTTTCGTATGGATTTTTAAAGTTCTTTTATTACTTTATGAGGCACTACGTGGCCTTATTTGGTGTGCATCAGTCTCTTCACCTTCTCTCCATTTCCGTCTTGTCAATCATTTGTAAAGCACTTTGAATTGGATTTGATTTGTTTGAAAGGTGCTCTATAAATAAAACCTGATTGATTGATTCTTTTCTAAATGTCCGATGACTCGTCCTGCACGCGGACGTTTACAAAAATGTATCCAATCAAATGAGACTTATATATAACCGCACTTCACCGGGTGTGGATCGCAGTAGGCAACAGGGCAAGACGGAGAGATAGGAAGATAAGACACCACGTGTCTGAGGTCTAACTCATTGAAGGGAGTCTTTGCTGATTTTAACCGGCTCTGTGTCACTGCAGATGAACGGCGCCCGGACTCAGCAAAGTTTCCCTTTCATCTCCGCCTCCTCCTCCTGATCTAACAACAGGTGGAGGAGGTGTGGCGGAGCCAAAAGTCCGCTGTAGCTCAGTTTGGTGCTAAACTCTAATCCCGCCCACGTTTTTTTTAGCGGCCCAATAAAATGGAAAATATGTGATTTACGTCCCTCTTCGTAACTGCACACCACTCAAACGTTACTTCACTGTGAAATACGTCACAGTGGAGAAGCTAAAGACACTCCGACTTCTGTTTCACTGGGACCTGAAGACTGACTGGTGTGTTTCTAGCTGCGGTCGCCTCAGAGGGAACTCTAGGAATTGACACTTGGGCCCACATGTGCACCGTTGGGACAGACGCGTTACCATAGTGTTCTCAAAGACCGACGCTTGCTCTTGGTTGTCCAGAGTGGCCAGGTGTCTCTGAAGCTCCAGCTTTGTTTTAGATGGGTGCAGACCTGAAAAATATGTAAATGCAGGATAAAAACACGCAGGAGACAAGACTAGTGTCACATCACATTTGTTTTACTTATAGTAGGTGTATGTTCATACGATATGTGGGGTACTGAGGGTCGATGGTGTGGCAGTTTTATATTGTACACCCCCTATAGTTTATAGGTCACTTAATTCAGCAGCATAATACACCTTATACTCATTGGGATGCAGTACAGAGATGCAGCTGCCTACCTTCTATCCTCTCACACAGTCTGTGGAGCTGCTGCATGGGGCAGTCGCCACACTGCTGGCTCTGGGTCTTTGCATTCTGCTGCAGGGCAGCCACAGAGAACGCCTGCTTCAAAGTCAGCATGATCTCATCCACCTACAAGAGCAAAACACATTCTTCTTTATGCTTTTTTTTTTTCCACCCATCCTTCAACATACAGCCTGTCGATATCGTCAGTGCATCTATGGGTTTACTTCTACCCGTATTCATTTACATTAGCTTCTTTTCAGAACTGCATTCCACCAGAGAACAGCTATTTGAACAAATCCACCCCATTCTTGACCTAATATTGTTTTTGGTGTTTTTTTGTCCTTTCCTAATTCTAGGAGTTTCAGTACGTTTCTAGTAAGTTTCAATATACGTGGAAAATCTGGGTCTTTGCAGTAACATATGCCGTATAAAACTGGTCGAAGTAAAAATAAGAGTAAAGTAAACAGGATGTGCAGTTTTTTTCCCCACAGGTTGTCCAGTTTACTCTGGCAGCAGTCAGATACTACAGTACAGCCGTGTCATGACCGAGGCTTTTTATCAAACACACCATGAGTCAACGGAGCACAGAACTCTGAGTCATAGGCCTCAAGACTTCGAGCACAAATTAATCGGACGTAAACCCAAAGCAAACTCTAGAGGTGTTAAATTAAACTGAGTGGGAAGTACTGATATGGAAATATATGTGAAATGATTTACAGGAAGTGAACACAATGCTCAACTGTGCATTGTGTTCCAATGAACAATTATACAAGAGTTGTTTTTAGGTTTGTAGATGTGCATTATGAATGACTGAATGAATGTTACCAACACAGACGTGCCGATTTGGAGTGTTGCAGTTCACATACATGTCTATCCAAAATGTCATCACTTCATCATTTCATCAATTTGTCATAATTAGCAGAGGAATTCTTGTGTTGTGTCCAAAAATGTGATTGTGAGTTCACAGTGCCCTTTGACCACCAAATGTTAAATCAGGTCAACCCTGAAATTGAAAGAAATCCCCTCCAGGTTTTTTTTAGTTTTTTTTTTAAGATGTCAAGTTCAAGAGAATCAAACAAGACGTATGGACAACCCGAACATAATAAAAACGGCAAAACATGTGAATTATTATGATTTCCTTTACGTCCCATCCTTTTCTAGCATTCTCTCTTTTCATTATCCGTCTCTCACCAGCGACTCGTCGGTGCACTGGAACACGTAGCACACAAAGTGGCAGCTTCCTCCTTCCACCGTCTCCCTGCAAATGAAGCCGAAGTGATCCACGTGACGGATACCCTGGAAGAGAGAAGATCAGGCGCTTCAGGGTTCAGGATGGGGTTTTAAAGACCCCACACAAGCCTGGACAGACAGTATTGTGGAGAAACGCAGTGCTTCATTCCTACCTGTGAGCAGAAGGAGATCTCTCTGAACGTCTTCTCTATGGCAACTTTCTTAGTGTCTGGACTGACCAAGAAGATCTGAGACCTGCCCACCTGCAGCAAAGACAGACAAAGAGAAAACAGTGAATCTAATTGTGTCTCTGAGTGTGGGTGTTTCAATGGTCTTGCGGTGTGTAGTGTGTGTGCTTCTGTGTGTGGTGTGGTTGTGACAGCAATAATGAGCCTCGCACACTTAACTAGTTGTGGTTCAAGTTCAGATTCCTCACACTGAAGTCTGGGTCAGTGATTACGTGATATAAAGGGGAAGCCTAAAAATAATCTTTTCAGTTATAATCGGATTTGTCAAATGAGGTAGTTTCATTTGTCTGTTGAAAAAGTACCTATGAATTTTAGAACAGTTCCACTTCAGTGGATATCCCCCATTCATACCATCATTAGGACATGAGTCACTATCACTCCTCAAAAGAAAAAGGGACTCAGTGGTTTGAATAAGCAGCTGATCTCATGTCTGTTAAATCCAGAGCACAGCTATTCTTTTTATTAACATGCTGCCAGTCAATGCTCTGCTGTATGGAAATCAATCATATCTAGGGACGATATATAATAAATGTATGTCAACATGGTCCTAGTTGAGATTTACCACATTATTACGATAATCATCAAAATATGCTTAAAACTCTAAATCACTCAAATGTACTGGAATAACTTTCATTTTGTTAAGAAAGAAATATTATTATTGCATCACAGACGGGACAAACAATAAAACTTTTAAATAAGGCACAAATAATCATAAGTCTCCCAGCATAAATAAAAGATAAAATTAAAAAAATTAAATAAATAGCAACATTGAGTGCATCTCTTCTTTCTAACATGATAATTCCTGTTTTTCACTTCCATGACAGAAAGCTAGACAGCTTTTTCAAGTCACTCGTGATATTGTAAATTCATCACACTCAATCTTAGAGTGTTTTTTATCGCAACTCGCGATAAATTCCTAAATAAAATATAAATAAATGGAAAAACTGATGTCACTATGATGAGGTCATTCTGTCTACTACCCATGTCAGCAGCAGCAGCAGCATGCATCATCAGTGGCAATAACAAGTCTGTATGCCCTGAGGGACAGCAGCAGGCCCTGGTGGTTCCTGTGCCAGCGGTCACATTTCCCGTCTGTGGGACAAACAGGAAAGCTGTTGGCAGCAGAGTCACTGAGGCCACATAAAGGTGAGAAAGGGGAGTGTGACTAAGCTCTTTTTAAACAGCAGTCAGTACTTTCTCTTGCTGAGTCATTAGGAGATTTATTCATTTTTCTCTTTTGTTCTCCCCGTCTCTGTCGTTTAGGAGCGAGTGTGAGGACTTGTTATTCAGGGAATCCAAAATTGCACTTTACAGCACTTCTCTTGTTATTCTCAACAAAGACATCTGAGAAAACCATTGTGTGTGAGCCGGAAGAAGTCACATGAAAGAGTCCGTCTGGGAAACAGTGTGCTGTTTTTCTAATAGGTTGTACGTGAAAATGAATGTGCGACAGATTATTATTATCTACTGCACGGGGATCATGCGATCAGTCAAGTGTGTGAGTGAGTAAATATGCACCTTTGTGTCTGTCCACAGCTAATCATGCATTCTGCTGCAGCAAACTGCATAATATTTTGGGGGCCCAGTCATGACTGCATGCTCATGGTTGCGGTAACTCACACTTTTTGTTTAAAGCACCTTTTATTGCCTGTTTTGTCCTGCCATTGACTGACTCCTAACTCACTACTTTTTACCGGCCCCCGGCCGGGAGGGGCATCGCCAGCCCCCAGCCACTACTGTGCGCCCAGAGACACAGGGGGGGGGACAGTTTGCTTACTTTTATTGTTTTGGACGGTGTGTTTAGCTAACAGCTAAGAGCTAACAGAGAGTTACATTTTTTTGCCAAGATTGTATTACGTGTCTTATATGACGACTTAAAGACTATTCATTGCATCTATAGCCGCTTGTACCCGAGTTTGAATGAAGTGCGTTTTACGATGCATTACAGCCCATTGGTGTCGCTGCAGATACACCTCTACCGAGTGCACCTTTCTAGTTTATTATCAATGCAATTTTTCAGTCCTAAGTCAGGATGCCTGATGAGGGCCATGACTGAAAAGTTGCATTTCTAACTCACTGCTGACAATGTGCAGCAATTCAACATTGTCTTTTGCATGATTTCATTTTCCCTCGCAGGTCTCTACCAGGAGTAAATCTTTACCGTTTTTCCTTCTAAAAACTAAAAACCTCTGTGCACTGTTGTGAGTGAATTTTGTGTGCGACAACTTGACACTTTTTTCCAGGTTGTGCATCTCTGCAGACAATGCATAAAGAACTATATGGAGTATATACAGCATATATGGTCCCAATGATTGGCACACTGACTGACAGATATAGTTATCGAGAATTTGTTTGATTTCTTGGGGAAGTACTGCAAGTATTGTGATGGGTTCCATCTGTCAAAGAGAATAAAAATGGGAGTAATTAGAGCCTACTTGCTAGTGGTAGCGTGCGTGTCCGTTCATGAGAATTACCGTAAACAGCATGGTCCTGTTCTCCTGCAGGCTGGTGGGCTGGACTCCAGCGGAGTGGGCGTGTGCCTCAGTAGTGTTGGTGTGAGAGATCTCAGGTGAGAGTCCATTCTCATCCAGGGCCTGCAGACAGGGGAAGCTGGGGTCTCTTTTGAACATGACGGGTCGCTTCCCGGTGGTTGGGCTCCCCGCAGCACCGTTACCGACGTCGCCGCTCTCGAGTCCGTTGGGTTGAAAGGTCAATGCCCTCCTCAGCCCGCCCGCCAACCCAGCGCCATTCACTCCTTTGTCGCTCGCCCCCGAGCCATGCAGCTGGCCGAACTTCTCGATGCACTCGTCGATCAGGGCCGGGGGGGCTTTCTTGTGAGCGACACTCGCGCGGCCGCAAAACAGCACCTCGAACTTCTTGGAAAAGGCTGTCGGAGACAGGGCAGCAGAGGGTGCCGCGGAGGTCGCCTTCGCTGAGAGAGACGAGCGACATGTCTCGGGGGGGTCGTTGCCTCCAGAGGACGTTTTGGTGGAAGTGGAGGTGATGTCATCGCTGCGCGCCGAGCTCTTCCCGGCCTGCCTCAACGTACTGATGATCTCGGGAACCTGGAGGGATAGCAAGCAGGAGATAGGAATTTGAAACTACTGTGATAAAACACAGCTGCGTCACAGTGCCTAATGAGTATCACATCCATTTGAACATTAAAAAAAAAAATCACCTTGAGAACTTTTGGAGCCCATGATAAAACTATGAACCCTAAAGTAAAAGGTGAAACACGCAGCAATCTGTAATTTTCCTGATCAACAAAAGGAACGTTTCCAAACTCACTGCATACACGGATCTGAACCTCTATAAAGATGATGTCGTGGAGCATAAACGGAGCCAGTGCACAGATTTTTACCCAGTTAACATGCACACTACTTTATTCAAGTTCAAGCTAACTAATTGGCATAGTGTACTAAACCTATGGTTCACAGTACCGTCACATTCATTGCCACAATAGAAGTCTTTCTCCAGGTACTGTAATAATAAATAGCCGCCCTCTTCATTTCGTGTTAGACTGTGTGCTCATATGATGGCACACGTCCATGAACAGGCGGCTGCCTACAGAAGCAATAGTGCATAAACACTAAATACCTACTGATTCTCTTCACCTCACCATGAGCTCACCTGCCATATGTGTGTCATGGTTCCCTGAAATGGAGCCGCCCTTGTGACGGTGTGTGTTGAAAAGGAGCCGAATTGGGACAGTTAGTCTCGAAGCAGGCTTTGTACTCACTCTTCTTTTATTTGATTCCCTTCTTTCCTTTCCTCCTGACCCTTCCTTTCCTTTTTTCCTCCTACCGCTCGCTAAATAAACTCGGGCTGTAGTCAACCAAAGACTGAAAGTCTACCTACTCTTCAAACCAAACCGTTAGTCGACCGGGGGAAAAACAAAATCTGCATGTTATCATTAGATTAATTAAATCAGCCACAGTGCACTAAGAGCACTCTACCTAGTGCCATAAATGAATTATAAATAAACGTAAAACTAGCTGCAGCATATTAAATTAGTTTTTAACCTAATTATTCTGTACATAAACAATAACAACAGACTCAAAGCTGAAAATGGAACGAGTCTTCAAAGCTTTTGCAATGTGCCTGCAGTTATATTTCAAACAAAGCGATTAGGCTGTTCATGAGACCAAACAGGTTGAAATAGGTCATTTTTGATGCGATGCATGGGTCAGGGTTATTTAATACCTAGATGCCACCAAATCCTACGCACTAAGAAGCGCTTTCCTTCTTAAGAAGGTAACACCAGCAATTGTCCATCCAATGACATAACAACCAACCGATCGCCCACAAGGTTTTGCTAAATTAATTACAGAAAAGGGAGCATTTTACAGTGTTGTGAAACATATGACCTACTTTTTGGACTTGGCAACTTGAAAAAAATAAAATAAAAATGTGCATATGTTTTACACACTGACCATTTCACTTTACAATAATCAATTAAAGTTGAGAATTTCAATCTCGGAGAAAACCAGATAACACTTTCTGCCTCCGCTAGAGTCCGCTTTATTCTGCGTGACGTACATGCCGTCATCCGCCCATGTCCACACTGACCCTGTGTAGACACAGCCCAAAATTTGGGACAGCACGGACTGTACTCATGCGCATACTCCAGTTTCCTGCCACGCTCCAGTTCAGTTGGTGCCAGCCAGATCAACGCGGACCCTAAATGGTGGCATGGATGGAGCTGTGGTGCATCAGGACGATCGCTACAAGTCCACAGACGTGGAAAGTATGTCAGGGGGCTTTAGTCTCTTTCATTCTGGGATGATGCACGGCAAGAATAAACAGCAGGACACAAGCAACGCTGTCGGTTTGTTTACTCAGCAGCTGAACGTCTTTTTATATCAACTCCCCCATTGATATTAACAATTGCAGTTGCATTACAGTAGAGAGGACCACAGCTGTGTTTTCTGCCCCTCCAACACACTGCGCCCCTGGCTGACATCCCAAATGGATCCAGCAGTCAGGATGCAGCCGTTGGTCATCAATAAGTGGAGCATGACGAGTTGAAACAACACCTGCACACACACACACACACACACACACACTCACTGCCATCCAGGAAACTGCAATGTATACAGAGGTTATGGATGATACTGATTTAGTATTACTTGGCTGTGAATGCAGTTGATATAATCTATGTAAACACTCATTTTTAGACTTCACAGATTCAAGCAAGCATCTGACACAGAGCAGCAGAAAAGGCTTTGTTGCTCATGTCCGGCTTCCTGGATATTCATGTTCAGACTGGGCCATTCATTATTCCCTCCCTCCCTCCCTCCCTCCCTCCCTCCCTCCCTC